TCCTAGCTTGTATAATAATTCAAATACTTCTAATTATTACAGTATGGCATGGCTCAGCCCTGCAGGCATGGTCATTTTGTGTAACTTGTCCCTATTCATATCAAATATATTATTCTTCTTTCAGCCCAAATGTGTTCCTCAGAGGTAACAAAATTCAAATTACTGACGTTCATGATCGGATAACTCAGCATAGACAGTGATGTGACTTTTACGTAAAATCTTACAGATCAGGTAGCCACACCATGACATGTCTATAGTTTTGTGATTAGGTTTATCATTATGGTAACAAAGATATAGGCACTAATACCAAGCTAAAATATAATTCTACATACCAGTGAAAATATTGTGTCGCGAATCGACAGCAGATATCAAGAGAACGAACAGCAGCTGGAAACAACTGGAAAAGACTGTCCAAGACAGAGTTCATGGTAGGATCCCTCTGGGTGGCCTGTGTTCCTTCGTGGGAGGTAGCAGGCGTAAATAAGTAATTCAGTGGAACTTCGTTTAGTTCTAACCAGACCGACCAGTAGAGTAAACCGTCTACACATTTGACAACAGATCACTGATCATTGTACAATGTTGAATATCGTCAAGGAAAAGAATCACTAACACAGACTTGTCGTTTACACATCATGGAGGCGGACATATGGCAGCGGTCCCGCCTTCCACTTGTGTAATCTGTCCAGATCAATACACTCCCATAATGACGTGTAACGTATGTACGGGCCAGGTTAACATACAGGTTGTTGACGTATATGACAATTTAAAAATAATGAACATGACCAGAAAAATAATTTTAAAGTGAAGAATTCTTGTGAAACTTCAGGCAGGAATATGACGCTTTATATAACTGCCTGAAGTTTCACAAGCAGTCTTAACTTTAAAATTATTTTTCTGGTCATGTTCATTGTTTTTAAATTGTCATATACGTCAACAACCTGCATGTTAACCTGGCCCGTACATACGTTACACTATATCTTCATGTCTTCTAAATTTAGAAATCATCTGAATCGCCTTTAACATTTATCAACAAACCCATCATAGTCGTTGTTGCTAATCGTATTTGGGTTAATGGATTGATTTATCATATTAGCAGCCTAAAATGCGAACAAACTTTAGATAATAATATTAAAAATTTAGGCACTATCAACTGCACTAGTAAAATAACTAAATCCTCAGGTAGCTGTTGGCTAAACAAACGTTTAAAATCAAAACTCCGTAGCCTACTAGAATTAACACTAAACGAATATTTTTGAATTGAAATTCATAATTAAATTAGGCGTCTCGGATTCTTTAACGCTATAAATTTCTGATAATTTCGAATCACCTAAAGCAACAATACCTATTTTTCCACTGACTAATCCTCAATCAACACTATAACTAGTTAAATTTAATAGTTTCAGGATATCGTCATAAAGCATTGTCATGACTTGACAATCACGTAATATGATTGATAATATTAATGAAACTATTAACATAACCGGTCATCAAATCGACTTATAATTATCACTAGTGTTGTTTTTCTTTTATCTTCATTCACTTCAGATGATTACAGTATGTTTCTCTATCAGTTGCTCATTCAGTAAATATCTCAAAACCTTGTCAGTCTAATTGGAGGTTTAGCGACACAATCATGCTTGCAAATAATCAGTATAAGCAGTCGAGCAAATCTCCTGCAAACTGAAAACATCAATGTCGAATTTACCCCAACACTGACTAAGGTTCAAGCCATTATCATAGACATGAGTTGGGAGTGTACTCCCCTTGGTTACAACTTATGTTCTCCCTGATAATCACATGAGCATCAATCACTATTAATCATCTTGTGAAAACTTATTTAGCCAAGTCCGTCTTGCAACACCACATCACTTAGTAATATGACACATAGGCTTAACTGATTTCAATAACTTATAACCACTATATCTCAGTTAAATCGTGTTCCGCCTTATGATAAACTGCATACTTGCAACTAACTTGTATGCCCATCAGCCGGCAAGTATAAATATAAATAAATAGTCTATGGCAACTCAGAACATTGAGTCTAGAGCATGCCTCTTACGAATACACTCATGTTTAACGATTTGTTCCTAGCTATCTGTCCAAAATTCATATAATTATCACTCATGTATTTAAATTTTATTTTGATAACCATTCATGTGTATTAGTAGTATTACTAAATTCTATCACGGTCAAGTAAAAATGAGGTTGAGAAAATCTCCCCGTAACTAAATAAACCGTATCAAACTAACTGGAACACTAGTTGGAATTCTTCTCCACGGTATACTTTTGTTCCTTCAGTTAGCCTACTAATACAGATGCAATTGGAATTCAACTCATATGGACAACTTACCGGCATAATCGTTATTTGATTTCATAATTTAAACCAAAACTAATACCAATATTAACATTTCTACAATATTCATTACTTTAATATTCCTAAACACAAAATACTTACTACCTATACGTTAAGTTATTAACCAACAGCTATTAACACGCATCGTTTTATTATTGTTATTGTAATCCCATTTTTTATAGCTCAAATAATCTTCACCAAAATTTTCGTTTCAAGCGTGTTAAGCATGAAGGCAGATATTTTAAAATTATTACATGTATTTCTCGACCAGATGCTGCCGCCTTCTTGCTGATTTATCCTTCAGCTTATCAATACCCGGAGGATTCTTACTATTCTTGGTAACCTCCGGCGCGCGTTAATCTCATCCAATTTGGTATCGAACCAAAACCACGTTGATTCTGGTGGGAGAGTAGTGTAGTGGCATTGGACCATAACTACACAATCCTCAAAGCTGAATACGAGATTACTCGGAAAATAGATATTCAATATTTAACGCGGAAAAATACCTAACGATGGAGAAGGCGCGAATAATGACTGAATGAATTGGAGTTGATCGAATGGCAGTACTAATATTATAGTAGACCATAGTTCTACGATGTCACGTCTGTTTTATACGATCATCAAAGTAACACACAGCACTTGGATTACACAAAAGGGAATTCCATATTATGTACTAACCTCTATGTGTGTTTTCAGCGGAAGCTAAAACGTTGAGCTAGTAAGTTATGAGTATTAATCAATATTACAATACGATAATACACGTGAGCATTAATCAGAGGATTAATAGAATTTGCGTTAACATAAGTAAAAACGATCGGGAATGTTAAAGTGAAAATGAGGAATTATAATAGGTTGCGTTTCTTTAGTTGGGCTTACCAATGTCGAATTATCGTCTACTTCGTTATTAGTACTGCTTTAATAATAGAACTATTCCTAAAATTGTAGATTTTTCATGATATAACTGCCTAATCTATAGGATCTTACGTGGAAGTCACATCATCGTCTACACCAACTCACTGTATCGTAACAACTACCAATACATGATGAAGAACAAGCTTAGGCTAGAGAAAGAACAATATATTTAATATGAATAAAAAATATAGGGTAATATTCAGCAGGGACCACGCCTGTATGGCCGAGCCATGCCGTTCGATCAACTCCAATTCATTCAGTCATTATTCGCGCCTTCTCCATTGTTAGGTATTTTTCCGCGTTAAATATTGAATATCTATTTTCCGAGTAATCTCGTATTCAGCTTTGAGGATTGTGTAGTTATGGTCCAATCCCACTACAAACCTCATCTGGCAAAAAGAATCTCACTGATAAGAAAGTATTGTAGATCACCAACGTAGATTATCTGTGTAGAATGATTGGAGGTCTACTTGAGTTAGACGGGAATGGAATGACGAACCAGCTAACTTTGAAGTCACACCCCACGATCAGCATCTAGCATGGATTACCCCTTCGATATATCAAAGTACTATGTCTGCTTCGAAGACCGTATAACACAAAGGACTTTATTATGAAAACATGTTTGTAGGAATGAGTACAGAGAAGATAGTGAGATAACCAGCGCATGGGCCAGTTTATGGCTTACGATGAACTGATGCGCGTCGGTTGTCCTTGACATTGACAGGGATCGATGATATGTTCGATATTCCGTGACCCAACTACCGAATGATTTGGTTAGGGCTCAGTGACATTTCGTCGGCCCTACAGTATATTTCATTTCTTCATCCCATTTAGTCCTTTATTGATTCCCACCTTTCACAATTATTCAAAGTTCTTTTTGAATCTTCTATGGCAGAAAGATATTTAGCTCGAACGGTCATTCGTCTAGGCTTCAGTATTATCCTACTGATTCTATAAACCTCCTTTGAGCGACCAAAAATTAGGAGAAACATATTTGAACGACTCGCAACAAAAAGTAAGTACTTCTTCAATGGTGTCTTCCTCTTTGTTATCTAGTCTATGCACTAAAACGGTATTTGCAAAACTCACAAACAAACCTCGGTTCATACTGTCTTCTGAACATTCGTAAAACTGAAGAGCAGGTGTTTTTGATTTGCATGTACTGTTAGTTATGTTCATAACTAACGAATCAAATCGTTGCTTAAGCTCCAACCATGTCAATCTGATCTGATGCGTCTGTAGATTATCCCTATTGCATTTGAAGGACATTATTATCCGATTATATTCGTGTGATTGCAACTCGTTTTTCATTCATTTCGATAAAACACGCAATAATAATCGGTATGTTTATGCGTTCCACTTAATGATTAGAATTCCCTTAACTATTGTACTAATCAAATTGTTATTTTTATATTTAGAAACAGATAAAGTTTAAAGCTAAATTATACTTGTTCTGACTGTAACTTTCACATTGATTCTAGGGTCGTCAGTATAGCGTTTACAGTTCTGGTAGAACAGCCGTAGGACAGATTAAGTCCTACATGTACCTAAATATACCTTTATCATTACGTAGATTTAACTGATCTCAAAAGTTTTCATCATCGAAAAAAGTCGTATGGACATACCAATTAGTTGCACGTATCGCTTGTACAATCCCCCTAACATCATTTTCGTTCTAACAGTTTGTTTTGAAATGTTGAACAGTTAGTCTCAACCCTAAAAACAGAGTTCTCTGCCGCTTGATAACTATCACCATCTCATATATCCCACCTTCATATGATAGGCACTTAGGAACAGTGATGGGTGAAACATTTCTCGTGAAAAATTCTAGTCTATCTTGTCCACACGTCACTATCATTGAAAGTCATAGCTTAAAGTTTCACGATTATGTGGTAGACAAAGTTAATAATATAACGAAAAATGCAAAAAATGTTGCTGTTACACCCGTGTTAATAAACTTTACTCGATGTATTTTAAGAACTAAGAAAACTTTTTCAATATAAATCAAAACTAATCATATCAAACTATTTTCTAGGTTTACATAATAAAAGCTTGCATGTTAAGAAAAAGCTCAAAAACATTTTATTGGTAAGCAAAGAATATCTTTCTAATGTTTGCACTATTTTTGAACCATATTTAATAAGGTGATATTGTTGGGTAGTTTCCTATTATTCTGAAAAGTGCTTTTTATAGTAAATACAAAGGTTAGAGGTTTCTATATAGAAGGTTGCATAGTAGTTAAATAAAATTAACAAGTTTTTTAAATTATTACATCATTTATCTTCTATAAATTCCGAGTTTTGTACATTTGTACTTATTTAAACAAAATTTCTTGATAAATATTTTTTTCAACAGACTGATACTAATGATGCTAAATCATGGCTTCTCATTTCCTTCTTTTGATAACCACTATATCCTGGCAAATTTAAATTGCTAGAAACAAAATATTTAAGAAAAAGGTCATTTAAATGTATGGATGATGAAAACTAAAGTTTTCCGGGCTTTATGTTGTCGTAGTATAACAAATGAGTCTTTCTTATTAGTTTCTTGGTAACGACATATGTCGTAGTGTATAGTTCTGAACGATTGCCGATTTTTTATCATGTTACAGCATGACTACTCATCTAGTATATTAAATATTGGAGTATGTGTCTCATGTGGTATCACTTCATCACAAATATATGAATTACATGCATTCATCAACGTTATAAAGTCCTGATTACGAATAATATTTTCCATTTCTAGATTAGTATTATTTATTCCTTAAGGATAATTTCTTCACAAGAAAACAGAAAACTTTTAGCAAACTACGGGGCATCGGATTATTGATTTATCCTAGATTTTTACCTTCGGTTATCCAGAAAACACTACACAATAACGCATGTAACCTATAACGTATTATATAACCTGAACTTTATATTTTGTTTGCCTTAAGGAAAATAAAAGTCATCAAAAAAGCTGGCAATCGACTTTATTTAAAATTATTCAGGGGTTAGTTTCCATGTTAATAGTTCACCATTTCCAAGAAAATGAACATTCAAACAAACTTTTTGATCATCAGTGGCCCTTAATTTTATTAACAAGTAATAAACGTTCTACATTAATACCTTTGCAGATGATATTATCACATTGGTTGACGCAAAGTGCTTAATTACTATTCCGAAGGATTTTTAATAAACCTATCAGCATTATAAAATACCATGTACAAGTTAGTAGCGATTAGTACTTGGTGGCTTATGGGATCATATGTTAGCTTTTGAAGCAATAATTATTATCAGAATGGGTTTTGTGGAGATTTTTAGAAATTTTACTGGTTGAAATCATGAGTCAATTGAAGCTAGACCACCATGGAAAACCTGGAAGCACTAGACGGCCGTTTCATCCTAGTATGGAACTTCTCAGCAGTGCACATCCACGATCCCGCCCCCCGCGAGGTTCGAACCCAGGACCTATCAGTCTCGCGCCAGGCGCTTAACCAACTAGACCACTGAGCCTGTCATCAAACGGTGTTCATGTCTAACTTCTAGTTCTAGTTCTAGTGAGATATCGTTACCAGTGGAGTTCAACCACGTCTGTTGTGAGATAGGAACTCACTGAAGACAATAATGTACGGCGGCGCAACTTTGTGGATTGGTTGAAGTTAGACATTAACACCGTTAGATGCCGGCCAGCTCAGTGGTCTAATTGGTTAAGCGCCTGGCGCGAGACTGATAGGTCCTGGGTTCGAACCTCGCGGGGGGCGGGATCGTGGATGTGCACTGCTGAGAAGTCCCATACTAGGATGAAACGGCCGTCTAGTGCTTCCAGGTTTTCCATGGTGGTCTAACTTCAGTTGACTCATGATTTCAACCAGTGAAGCAATAATTATTGATTGAGTATCTTATTGTGGTAGTTAACGTGAATATTTAGGTACAGTCAATTGGTGAAACAAATAGAATGAAACGTGCGTCCCGGATCCCAATACTAGTCACAATCCAGATATACTCAAATCCGTGACAAATAGGCGATATGGGGAAATCTACTCAGGATATCAACAAAAGTTGGTCAAAATTAAGTCTTGAACATCAGCAACGAGATAGTACAAATCCTTGTAAATATAAAACATCCGTTAATAACAAAAATAGGAAATGAATATAATTGTCACTACGAAAACGACAAAGATTAAATTAAACTGTTGTCTAGTTATGAAATATATTATATCTACATTAATTTGTCCGTTTAATGTGTAAACAACATCAGTTACCAGAATCTGATCACATGCGAATAAAGTAATTAACCATTTATACAACCTGATTTAAAAACTCAAACCATCATAAATTACACGGTAGAAATAACTTAGATTGAATAGTTTTATAATTGTAGATTGTTTTTACTTAAATGTTTGATTCAAGTTCCAATAACGTGTTGGGCGAGAGCACCTAGAATATTATGAATACTACAATTAGTTGTGCTTAACTGACTGGTAAGACAAAGATATATCGAGAATTATTTAATTTTTATCCAGACTGTTTTTCAACAATGATCTTGTGGTTAGTCTTTTTTTATTTGAAAAACTACCTTTAAAAATACTGAAAACCATGTATCAATGGAAATTAATTCTAATTTTAGTCTCCTGGCTAGTTATTTACTGTGTTATACCGTTGTGATACAATAATTATACTTAAATGTGTATCGATTGATAAACCCAGATCATATAATCAATTCACAACAAAAAAAGAGTTTTAAATTAAACGGTGCTTGAAAAACATGATTTCTAAGCTACTTACAGATCAAATACATATTCATGAGGAATATCTTGACGGACTAAATTCAATGATTTGTATTTATGGTACGGGTTATCTAAATCAATACGTTTTTCGCCCGTACAAAACGATCCACTATAATGGTGAAGTCATGGGTGAACAGAATAATAAAAAAAGAGGTAGGCTAGTAAACATAATTATACATAGGTATACAAATTTCGTAACAATAACACTTAATTCAGTCAATTATTAGGGGCATCTAGCTTAAAAATATTTATTCTAGCGTAAACATGAAACTCATTATTTTTTCAGAGCAGATAAATACGTAGTAATGATAATAGTATATTTCACAATCAAAGGAAAATTCAGTATATGATACGGGATTCACTGAAGTTAAAAAATATAATATCATCAACGTCAATCACCCACTGGTTCCATTATATACAATACATGCCTTAGATACTAACAAACAGTCCATGTTCTTAATCATCAACTGTCATTTGTAATGTAGTTCTTTAATGTGAAATAAAGTTGATTATGTGGTATGATTAAGAAAAATGAGAACGCTTCTGTAAAGAAAATTTTCTGGTCAGGGAAGACTTTGTTCATGTACACTGAATTCTAAGGGGATATGGCTGCAGAGATCTGAATAGACAATTTTTGGAAATCCTTAAGGAAAATTTTAACTCACCCGAGCTACGATTTGTATTTTATAGTACATGCCTGATCCAAGGATGTGCTAAGGATAAATTGACGCGTTGGATCATTTCAATGTGTAGAACCTGTTTACATTCTCATGTAGAGCATTTCATGCTAACTGGACAAGCATCCTGTTTCCAAACTTTTATCAAAACACTATCCGCCACGATCATCAAAAAGTGGGTATAAATCAGGTGGACTGTTCGATTGCTGAACGTCTATTCAGTTTTGGCCACTTACCTTCACTAGAAAATTACCTTAGAATTATTCATAAATCGAAATGAAATAGTTGTAAGGGAAGCCTATGCATAGCTAACTCTTCAACAATTCATTGCTTCAAGCCTGCTCTTTGCATTCAGAAGCGATAGGTTTGACACTTTAGTTGACTTTGATCCTGATGCTCTCATGATAATTTGTAAGTTCTTTGTTTACACCTTAACCTTTCTTATGTCACATGGACAGTGCCCTTTCACTGATGAGAAGTCCCATACTAGGACGAGACGGCCATCCAGTGCTTCCAGGTTTTCTAACGTGGTCTAGCTTTAATTGATTCATTAATTCAAAAACCTATTCACCTGCTTAATGGTTTGTTCTGGATATTTAATCATTCAGTGGCTTGTATCAATCACACAGTCTCATGAGCAGACATCACTCGGTAGTATCGATTAACAATCTATTCAACAATCTCTACAAAATTCATATGGAAATTATTTATAATCGACTTACCTGTAACCAGGAATTTGATTAATTCGTGAATTATAAGAACAACTGTGATGTAAGAAAATGAACATGAGTAAAATATCAAATGCATGAAATTAAAAAGTATTATGACAAGGCATTTAAAGTTTATTCCTATTACCTGGTTGGTATTATTCAAGAGATGTTAATCAAAATAAAGGAGTTCAATAAATTTAACTTCTTACAGAGAGCATATTGTACCTTTAATTATTCAAATAATCAAAACTTTCCACTTCAAAATAACTTTCACTATATTACTATCTTAACTGTGACGTTATTACCGAGGATGATTTGATTCATTTCACAAATCACAACTTTCTGTCATGATCTCAAAAGTTTGTTTTTAAGGTAGTCAGAACTAAAACTATCATTAGACTCATTAGAAATCGTTTAGTTAATTAAAGCAACATTATACAATTTATACTGTTAGATTGTGGTCTGAACCCTGTAAAACAAATTGTTCGACCTAGAATTATTCAATATGTTGTTGGGTTTCTTTAATAATAGAGTGCGATGATTTGTATAAGTTGATCAGTAGCTAGTATTGTTTTAACTCATTTTATGGAGATTTATAAATATGATTTTCAGTATAGAAGTTGTGGATATTATTAGGTTTTTGATTGAGATCATGAACCGATTGATGTTAGACCTTCGCTGGAAACCTGGAAGCACTGGACGGTTCAGTAGGTTAAGCGTTCGCATGCGAGACTGAAGGCCCTGGGTTCGAATTCCGTGGATGCGCGCTGCTGAGTAGTCCTGCAATAGGACAGAACGGCCGTCCAGTGCTTCCATGTTTTCAATAGGGGTCTAACATCAATCGGTTCATGGTCTCAATCAAATATGATTTTACCTTAGTATGCTGATGAACTTCATGAAAACACGAATTTCGTTAGGATCAGAAACACAAAACATGTTTACATGTCTTTAAGACAGTTTTTAAGATATGATAATGCATATCTACACAGAGACTAAACGAAACACTAAACACCTCTAACTGCAGCACTGAAAGAAATGGTAGTATGTTGTGTGATATGAACTGTAACTGTTCATTCAACAAATGAAATTAGATATTAAGCTTTGCTTAATGTTGAAATACTGTTAATGTTGTGGACGTCATTCTGTTATTGATTTCTGTTTTGAGTTCCATTGTGTGTAGACTATTTCTATTGTGCTTAATGCTTCATTTTCTGATTTATTGTTTGGTTCAAATCTAAGGTCAAAAATCGTGTACCGATGTATGACGTAATTCACCTAATTCCTAGTGTGCCGACTGAGTAGTCAGTCTAATCTGTTATCGTTATATATCGTAGAGTAGTAAAATCATACATTATATTTTTTCGTTACATCTTACATATTTACTGACTTACGCCTGTTAACCCTGATGGAGGAGTGTAGGCCGCTCATCAACATTCTCCATCCAACCCCGTCCTTAACAATCTCTTCCAGTTGCTATTCATCCTTTTCATGTCTACTTCCAGTTATCGACACTGTGTGTTCTTCTGCCTTCCACTTTTATGTTTCCCTTCAGAATTCCGAGTTAGCGTTTGTCATATGATGCAGTTTGATGACCTCTTCAGTATATGTCCTATCCACTTCCATCATGTTTCCTAATATTCTCTTCAGCTAGAAATTAGTTTGTTCTCTCACATAGTAGGCTATTGCTGATGGTATCCGGTCAACGGACATTCAGTATCTTGTGTAAACAACTATCTATAAATACTTGAACATGTTTGACGATAGTTGTGGTAGTTCTTCACGTTTTAGCTCCATACAGAAGAACTTTCTTGACATTCTTAATGAAGATTCTCACTTCGGTATTGGTTGGCAGTTGTTTTGAGTTCTATACGTTGTTCAGTTGTGGGAATGCTGTCCTTGTTTTGCCAATCCTCGATTTTACATCTGCATCAGATCCTTCTTGTTCCTCGATGATGCTTCTCAGGTTCGTGAAAGTTTCCACCTCTTTCCGAGCTTCTTTATCAAGTGTGACTGGGTTGATGTTCTCTGTGTTGGACTTGAGGATCGTGCTTTTTCTTTTGTTATATTTTAGACTACTGATGCAAAGGCTGCTGATACACTAGTTGTCTTCATCTGCATTCGTTGATGTGCATGAGATAGAAGGACCAGGTCATCTGCGAAGTCCAAATCGTCTAATTGATTCCGAGCTGTTCGTTGCATTCCGTGCTTCCCCTCAGATGTCGAGCCCTTCATAATCCAATCAACCATCAGAAGAGAGAGGAAGGGTGAGAGAAGGCAGCCTTGTCTGACTCCGGTCCCCACTTGGGATACGTCTGTCAGCTGTCCTCCATGTACAACATTACATTGTAGCCCGTCGTATCAATTCTGGATGATGTTGACGATCTTCTCAGGTATACCATAGTGTTGAAGAAGTTTCCATAATGTCCTCCTATCCACATCGACAAATGCTTCATGATCAAGAGTGTTTATGTATATGTATGCATCATTATAAGGAATTGATCTCTATCGAAACCCTGGACAGGATTCCATAAAGGAAGAACAAGAAGACAGAAATTAACAACAGATGAACAAAAACAGAGAAAGTCAAGGCACAAGCGGAATACACAGAAGCAAACAAGCTAGTAAAAAAGGGCATTTGAGCGGACAAACGGAAATACGTGAACGAACTAGCAACGACAGCGGAAAAAGCTGCGACAAATGAAAATACCGGACAATTGTAAGATATAACTATGATTCTAGCAGGGAAAGTATAGTCAACCAGAGAGACCTGTTATGGAAAAAGAAGACAAGCCAATAACTGAGATCGAAAGACAGAGGAACAGATGGGTTTAACACTTTGAAGAACTATTGAATGGGCTACTTGTATTGGATCTACCGGATGTCGAAGCAAAACCTACAGACCTTTCTATAGATATCACTCCATCAACAGTCGAAAAAATCAAGATGGCCATCAGACAAATCAAGAGTGGGAAAGCAACATGACCTGACAATATACCAGCTGAAGAGGAAATTAAGAAAGAACGATGGAAGTTGTTTGAACATGTATTGGAGAAATCCTCAAACTACATCATATGGAAACGCTAACTCGGAATTCTGAAGGGAAACATAAAAGTGGAAGGCAGAAGAACACACAGTGTCGATAACTGGAAGTAGACATGAAAAGGATGAATAGCAACTGGAAGAGATTGTTAAGGACGGGGTTGGATGGAGAATGTTGATGAGCGGCCTACACTCCTCCATCAGGGTTAACAGGCATAAGTAATTTAAACATTTTGTTATATTTATAAGTGGTTTATTTTTTTCGCTATTACTCAATTCGTAGTATTACTTATTATTCAGTTTGTAATTTGCTAATCTATTCAGTTGACTGTGTTTATAAGAGCCTTTTACACTTTCATTGGGCCGCTTTTATTCTTAAGGATGGAGAGGCAAATAAGCTTATCAGTATTTCAAATTCTTTGATTAATTTTTTCGTTGATGATGTGTGAAATAATCATGTACACAGTCTGAGCCCGAGAATTTACTTGCATAGCTTTTATTACTACCTTAGACATCATTTTCAGCTCTCGCAGCCCAACATTAAGGGTGGCCACCTACGTAAAGTAGCTTATGTACAGTTGAGGTAGGACAAACGCCATAAATGTGGTGATTGTTTGGCCATTGTATAAAACAGAAAGTAACAACCTACTTACAATTCATATGGTCGGTCTTCTTTTATATGAAGATATCTTGCTTGTTTTTGATCATATTGAACTGGATTGAATAGTTCCGGCTGTAGGTTCAGGTGGTAAATAAATATTTATGAGAAATGGCTAAAAATAGTTTGGTGTTTTTCGATAAAACCGTAAAGTCTATTCGTTGTATTTTGAATTGGTTTGCAGTATCTGAATAAAGATTTTATTTCAACAACCTATCTACTTCTTCAGCTAGACAATATACTGAAAATATTCACTTGGTGTTGTTTACTTGTATCTTCCCATTGTTATGTAGGACTGCAATTGATCAGTCTCTTTGCTCATAAAGCTTGTGACTTAAGGCTATATCGAGGCAGTCCACACAGAATTCACATATGCCAACATGAGACTGGCCAATTGCAGTCCTAAATAACAATGAGAAGATACAAGTAAACAATACCAAGCGAATGTAACTTCACCCCATTGTACAAGCAGGTGGCTATCACGACTTAGTAGCTAAGCGGATAACGCGCTGGAGTTTGAAACGAACAGTGCCGGGTTCGAGTCCCAGAGATAACACCAACTCTGAGATGCCAGTACACCCAGCTGGCGAGTCCCAAATAGGACGGAACGCGCGTCCTTGATTCCACTAACAGCCACTATTCATCTTTGCCTATACTATACTGAAAACCTATTAGTTTTCTGAGGCAAAATTTGATCATATTGCAGTATCATCGATTTGGTAATTGCGACTGTCATTTTGTAATATTATTCCGAGTTAAAAATTTTTATTGATATCCCTTGATCATATATGAATAAATATTATGTAAAACAGATAAAAGATATTCAGAGCTACACATTATGAGATTAAATCAGTCGGTAAGTGCTTGGTTTATTATGGTCAAACGACTTTAAACAAACGAGTTGCATTTTAGATTAGCATTATGAAAAAATCAACTGTGAGACTATGGAAATAATTTAACGTTGAGGTTACTTAGCTTGATATCAGTTTGAACTATAACCATTTCACTTTATCCATTAATTAATGCAAAGTAAATTTTTGAATATAAGTGTACTGAGGTATTATTTTTAATTTAAATTTTGGATGTGAAATGGACCTTTCTCTATTGTTTTTATTTTCTCGCTCCTGTGGCAAAACATACTCACTTTGCATGCACAAGTAATCAGTTTTAGAAGTTATTTAAAATGTAGACAACACTGTTCACAGGGGCTGTTTTGTAACAGTGTCAGTATAAATCATTTAAATTGCTGGAGCAATTATTCTTATGTGATGAAATTATCAGAATATGTTATGATTTTTCACAATTTCAAAACTTGAATGCTTGTGCTTTGATCGCACCTTCAACAGTTTAACTATTTAACCTACCACATCTGAAGTACGAATTCAAACCCAACAACGCCTATTTGGGGTTCAGGAGTGTCACAGTTTTATCAGAGACAATAGATAATCTAACGAAATAAAATTAATTTATGTCATCACGCTCACATTCTTGTCCTTACTCTTTCCAAAGGAGAGAACAAATCTGACACACAACCTTAAATCAATAAGTGGAGTATGTTATCGATTAACAATGACTAAGCACATGTTTCCGTTCAAATGGAAACACTGTTTCAAAGAATCCAATCATGATGCCACACTTGAGTACAAAAATATAGGAATTTCCTTCATATTAACTTGGCCAACAAACTAGGGGAAAACCCAGTACATGTATGAACTCATGGTCGAGATCAGACCTCTAAATTATAATACTAAGAAACCAGTCTAAAAATGACTGTAGCTTTAGAATCTAAACCAGTCATGCCAGCCATATAAACGAACCACAACTCAAGTGACGATAATGAGTACTGAAGTAACTCATTTAACAATTAGTATGATGTTCCATGCAACTCTGAATTTGGAAGCATGACAAAGCAGATGTTAATCATTTTCGGTAACCAATAGTTTTTCAGCTTATCCCAGTACTCTGTAAAAACGACCATAAGATTTTGATGGAATACATAAAAAAACTGACCTGTAGTGACAAATATGATGAGCATAATTCAAGATGCTCAAAACAATACATTCCAAGGAAAATTAGAAAATACATGATATCACGGCCTTAACACAGTCTTGTTCTGTGGTGTCTAATATGAACATTGAAGCCCTATTGTTGATTACATGTTCATGAAGCTTGCCTAAAGACATTATTTCAAGACATATTGTAGTGTCAATGAACCATGAAAACAGTCTTAAGCACTAAATTAGTTGATCGCGACTAAATTTAAACGCAACCACTAATAATCACATTTATGGTTGGTTGATTCGCTCAATCTCCAAAGGCGTAGGCGATGATCTAGCTAGTTGGTTTTTGAATGTGATTACATATTCGAAATAATAGGATGCGTTTCACTAATGATGAGTACCACAGATGAAAAGAACTTACTATCCATGACTTGGTAGCAGGGTAATATGAATCACTATCCAAAAGACCTCTAATTGGGTCTGCAACAGCCTCATAACTCTTCATCGGGTATAAGCGTCGGCACGTATTTCCATAAAAATTCGATCGATTTCCATATGCTCTGATATGAACGTAATACAATGTACTAGAAATGAAATTACGCTTGATAACTTGATGTATACAGGTAACTTTGTGCAATTTTGTCATCTCCAGTTAAACGTCTGGTATTTAGCATATCCTGCCAAATGTTTTGAAGAATAAAAAAGCGTGACTTATAAAAAACGTACAAGTTGTGGAAATATAGAAGTCCTTAATAGCTGTTTGGACTGATAGTTCTCACTTTTTAGGCTTGCTTAAGAGATTACAGAACGTCAAAAACCGCAATTTTACCGGCAAACCTTCCTCGAATTACTTGGTCACTAATGAATTTATCATGCATTGATAATGCTTTATTCAAGGTCTCCGGAGGTGCCATGTTTGAACCTTCTCTGAATGCACTAATGTCCTTATAATAAAACATTTTTACATAAGCATTACAAACTACCCCCGGAGACATATTTTGAGGCTTCCGTCTGTCAATACACCTTCTCTCTTCAAGTCGGTTGAGTGAAGACGCTGACGCAAGATTGGATATATTTGTGGAATCTTCTAATGTCGTCAATGTTGAATACTTTGGTGGAAATCCCAATTTTTCCCGTTCTTTAATGGAGTTTTCATTTTTTAATAGAATATGTCTCTTGTTTTCTTCTTTAACTCTTACCCTTCTGTCTAAATCACTCTCCTTGTTTTGACTATTCTTTATACATGTACGGCTCATACCAAGACCTTGAATTTTAAAATGTCGAATGATAGAATTTGGAACGTTGCTATACGAATGGAACATTATAAGAAAAACGAACAGTCCTGAACAGAACAGATGACTTTGTCCAGCAAGATTCTGTAGATCGTCGACAAAAATAAGCGAAAATAACAGTTCTGTAAGCAGAGCACAATACTCCTTATTTGAGTAAGTTTTTACGTCACAAGATGCTACTCACTGAGGTGCATCAGCACTTTTGTGAAATAACTTTTCCCGTGTGATACAATGCAGCTGCGCAAAATTTTAAGTAGTAAAAACAAGCACCCGAAGCAAAATGTCAATATTTTATGTATGATGTGTTATGTTGGACCAGTAGATTGTCACTGACCCGTCGACCAGTGAACTGGCAGGTAGACCACTGAGTGTCGAATAGTTTATTGAGCCCCGCCGTGGTTAGGATAAATCAACGTTCATCAGTCAGCTGCATGTCATGGCTCGGCCCATGCAGCGATGGAGCATCTATGTGTTTCTGTAATCTTTTCTTACTAATACGATCATTCAGTAATGTCATGTTTGTGCTATTTAACCATCTGAGTAGCAATAGCGCGTGGACACCGCAAAAGGCAATAAACATAGAGTAATCGCCTCCATAATGTCGCATTATTCTCTTCCAGCTCGAGTAGACCACGATCATCCATAAAGAACACCTAAATTGATGATCTACGGTAGCTCTTAGCTAGACTGCAAATTATGGAACACGTACATAATACAAAGCATATGAACATAAAGATGAATCTTATTATCTTATATAGGCAGATTGAGTCAGTGTGCTTGCCTTTTTTCTAATTTGTTGACTAAACCCAAACTATTAGCAAGGTGTCAACGTTTTACTATATAAACGGCCATTTGGCTCATGAACACATATATAACACGATCTGCCAAATATAAATATTGCCGTACACCCTGTTTAAATTATCTATTCTGATTGTTATACATCGAAGTGAATTAACCCAATACAATATTCATTCCAAATTTACATAGATTTATTATTGACATAACTAGATAACACTTTCAATAATAAGTATCTGTAATTGGTTTGTGGATAATTTCGGGTCTAAATGATCATTATATAATTCACTTTAACGACCAAGTTTTCAGATCCTGCGCTGCAGAACATCTAAGAAAACGACTGTTTAGTGCCTTCTCTGGAAATAAAGATTTGAAAAGACCTGCCATACAAGTTGACGGTTTGACGGCTTGAGGTTTCAAACCAAAAACTTGGCCAATGAGCCCAAAACTAATGAGGGAGGGTTTTCCTCATCTTAATGCTATGGAAACAGTAGTTGGCGCAGTTTTAAATCAAAGCTGAATACATAAAACGCTTCAGATTGAACGAGAGACAGTATACGAAATTCTTTAATTTCGTGAATAGTAAACCCGTATACAGGATTACTATCTACCCTTTTATCTTTCTTCAATCCCCTGATTTTTAATCCTTCAGTAAAGCAAGTTGTGCGGAATATTTGTAGGTCTTGTAGGTATTGTTTGCAGCCAGGTTATGAGTATCAGTGTTACTTCCTCGTTGAATGGTTCTATTAATTTTGTGCTCAGGCTCGGACACATTGGCGTTCCCAGTAAAATCCGGTGATGAGATCAGGGAGAACATCGGGATGACTTGCCTGTATCTTTCTTGTAGTGCTTTCAAGATCGGTCACTTTGGGTTAAGTGGTCATGATAAATACATAATCACTAACCATCTTGCAGCTTGTTGCTTTGGGATCAGTCTATAGTTTCTCTTATAAAGATTACAGTTGCCATTGGAAGTCTTGATTGCACGGATCGATAGGCTTTTAAATGAAATCTAATGGATATATTTAGTATTCCGCAATAGCTTTGTACTATCTGCGAAAGACAGAGACCAGGTACTGTATGTTTGTAAATAAAAACCCAGATATTATTAATATGTTGACTTCCGTGGGCCAGTGCGAATGTGTTATTTTCAATGAAAGTCGAGCTGCACAGACATTATGAGTGCTACGGAAGGAATTGTATATAAAAGCCCCAACTGATAGTTCGTGATTCTTATAGAGAAGGGAGTCTGTGAATACATTTAAACTTTGCACGAAATAGACTCAGAAAAAGTTTGAACTTGGAAGTTTCCACACGGTCAAGTCAAGCGCAATAAATTTTAATTTCAATCCTGTCATACTATTCGAAATAAACCAAGTTGACTGGAGCAGTATGTGGTCAATAAAAATATCAGGCTGTTTCTTTACCAAGATAGGTATCTGAACACGGCCTGTCTGATAGCTGAACACAGATTCATATGACCTCGTCCCTGTGCCAAACTCTTGACGGGTTGACCAGCAGGACCAGCCTAAAGTCAACACTGAGTCCTTATTGGTCCTACTAGTTGAGTTCAGAACACAATCTCAGCTTTCGCTGTATGAATAATATATTTCAGACATACACAGTTTATACATAAACAAGTCAAACCGCATCACACCACAAAATAGAAATTAAGCTATACAGGATCAAGCTTGAAGTGAGAGACTGTAACTAATGGGTTGGAAATAACTTACGAATAGTAAACCGTATAATAGTAGTAAGTAGGCCGAATGAAGGCTTATAATGATATATATATAGGGCGAATTTATCCGCAACGCAACTATGCGAACCTAATGTATCGCCCAGGTTCATCTGTGCGTTCAAGTAACCACAGATTTTGTCATTTCGTAACGTATTTTTAATCAAATAACTAGATTATGTTGTTAATTCTTCTCTGTTTTTAATTTTTATTCGCCACGCCCGACTGCGTTACACTGTACGTTCATTACACGCTGGAATGATATCTCAAGTAATAGTGAGATTAATCACATAGTTGATTGTTTCCAGATAGACCGTCAGTGCATGATGTTACTGAAGAAAGGTTTGTTGTACTCTGAACTATGTTTTTTAATGGACAACTGACTGTTGTCATCAGTCTCGAAGTAATATATATCCTTTATCTTCTGTTAGGTAAGTTCGACTGGCCTATATTTCGTGTGTTGGTTTTATCGGCTTAATTATGTCCATTTAACTACTTTGAGCAACATGTCTATGGAAATGAAACAATAATTATGACACTTGCTTAGTTTAGTATTCTTGGTTGTCGTATAGTTCAGTTTAGTCGGAAGAATTATGGTATACTTAAGTGCAGTGCTTGAAGCTTGTAACGAAACAGATCAGTTTAGTAAGTAGAGCTGCCTGTTTCTAATGAGTATACTGATTGAAATCAGTCTGATTGAAAATAGGAAAAAAATGCCTTCGGTACTGTTGCTGTCATACATTATAAGATAGCTTTAAGTATGTTTGGTGTTTATTTCTAGACTGTACATCTATCACTGACCATATTTCAAGATTACTGTCATCAAACAATTTCCCAAGCAATAACATCAGTAACAAGATAGCTAAGCGCTTGAGCTTTTAGTTGCCCGCAAAACAGCAGTATGCAGTCGTAGAAGATGAGTGCTCTGTGTCTCAATTAAATGTAGCTGGCTGTGAATAAATGTTATGAATCTTTTTGACAACTGGGACTTTTAGTTCATCAGACACTAACTCTGCTTGTATGTCTTCCTGTTAAACTAGACGCAGATGCATGAGAATACTTAAATGGGAGCAAAATAATAAAAGCATTGCGATACGGCACTAAGCCCATGTGATGCTTTGCACAAGTAATAGTAGCTGACCTGATCTAATATTCATGAACTTGTAGATCACCAACGTAGATGATCTATGTCGAAATGATTGGAGGCCTACTCGAGTTAGACGTGAATGGAGTGACGAACCAACTAACGTCGAAGTCACACCTCGTGGTCAGCACCTTACGTGGACTACCATCATTGACGTAACAAGGTACTATAGATGCTTTGAAGACTGTACAACACAAAGAACGTTATTACAGAAATATATTAAAGTAGATACAAGCGAAAGTAAGACCACTGCCGCATGGGCCAGTCCATGGCATACCATTAACTAATGCGCGTTGGTTGTACATGACCTCGGCAGGGAGCGACGATCTGTTCGACATTCAGTGATCCAACTGCCGGATGATTTGGCTAGGGTTCAGTGACATTTCACTGGCCCTACAAACTCAAGGTAAATCACAACTGCATAAATTCTTTGCTAAAAAACATGTAATTTGATTATTTACCTATTCCACATTTCTGACTAAATTCATTACTATTTTTTCATTTAGAATGCAACAGAAGTGAGCCTTCACAGATCCTAAGAATTGTTTGGCCCCTAGAACTACGGTCCTATGAAACTTGACGGGAGACCCAACTAACAGCAGATTATAAAAAGGATGCTGAACGTCCATTTTAGTCTCACAACCACTTCCAGTACTTTCTGAGTTACTCCTTTTACCCTTTCGTTTCGAAAAAAACAACAAAGACTGCAGCTTAACGTTACCAATGCAACTTTTAAACGGGAACCTGGTTTAAACCTTCGTTTGATATTCGATTCTTAATAAAAGTTCCTGAATAAATTTTCAAGTCTAATGCTACTTTGTTTTATCTACTTAATCGTTGCAAGAAAATTGTGAAACACGAGCTTCTCAGCACCTAGTTCATATGTAGTAAATTTAAGTGATTCAGCACATATCTTCGTCATTTTCTTGGGAAACCTACAGACTCGGGTCCTCTCATAACTTATTCTAATCACCATGAGTTGTCACGGCAGCTGATGGACACACGTTCTACATCCTAACCGTAGCTGCGTCTAGTCTCATAACTCCTTATCAAATGCCGTATGATAGGCAAGCAATGCCTCTACCCGCACTAATGGAACACTAATAACTCAAAGGCACCCTGTATGGTGCCCTACAGTGGTCTACGCACTCGCTTAGCTCCTTAGTGAGAATATTACTACAGTTCTGTTAAAAATCCCATGAACCCCCCTATCTTCATCAAAACAAATAAGTTTATATTTGCTGAATATAACAATTTTATTTTTCAAAAGTAAGATATAACAGTTAGAATTAGAGTAAAATGGTAGTATACAGCAGATACACGTGGTACATGTCTTCATCGATTAGCTGAAATAGAGAATACTGATATTAGCTTAACAAGCTTATTTAAAAAGACTATTGTCTACTTTGAACTTACTGCGTAAGAAAGTTATACTGGGACTACGAATAATGTAGAAATCTAGTCATCCAGGGCGTACGAAGCACTCGAACAGGAAGACAATTGTCCAAAAATAATTCGAATATGAAGGTGAGAATTTGCAGGTACTTTTCATCGCAAGGGTGAACATATTAGGCACCGGTTGACATCATACCGTAAAAAACAAATTTGCGAGTGTTGAAATATGATCTATAAAAAAGTGGGCTTAATAACAGTTAATTACCTTTTTACTCCCTGGTCATGACCCTTCGGCTTCCTTTTATGGCCAAAACAGCAAACATACACTACACACTGATAACAGAATCCCGGCTTTTCAATGTTAAGCTTGCTTTGACGCACTACGTAATGAGTAACGAACATGCGAACAGTTAGAGTCACAGGCGGCAGCAACAATTATTTTAGCTAAAAAAGCGAACTTCGGCTTTGTATATCTAAAAAACAAGTCAAAACAAAATCGATTACCATTTTAAAACATAAGACTAGCCAGCTTGGCTGAAGAAATACATTGATTTGAGTAGAAGCAGCAAAAACAATGCCGATTCGAAATAAATTTCACACCAACATATAGAACATTACACTAACTGCGGCATTAAATTACATTGCTACACAAAAGAAACAGCTGAAAAAAGCACAGAACGAAGACGGCCGTCCGCCAGTGCTTACAAAGATGGCGGATATAATAATTCCCACCTCATTCCGTTTGGTTGCTAAGGTGAATGCCACATTTACGAAATTGAGTTGCGTTTAAAAGCACCCATATATATATAATCTAGCTACTTAGTTGCTTTCCAAGGGGAATACATGTAATAATATTCCATGAATTATTCCTAGCAGTTACCTTTTATTTATTCTTCTTTAGGGTATAACATACAACTACTTCATCCAACTGGGGTTTCCTTACATGGCTGGTTGGCTGAAAACTAACCACCACATTTAAGAAGGCCGTTCCGTTACTTAGCATATCCCAGCCACTCTATACAAAATCTGTCAGATCGTTAAGGTCGCAAGTGCGTTTAGCGATATGATGTATGTGACGCATGAAGTGCAGCGCATGAGAGCCACATTCGATTAGTACGAGGCTGCACCACTTCCAGAGAATTTAATACGGCAAGGCTAGTTCCGTTCTTCCCCTGTCACAATCGACCATTTTAAATCGTTAACGGTTCTGTATTGATTTGTTCTACACTTTGATTGTGTTGCTTGCATTCACTGGTGTTGTGCATTTTCGTTGTGAACTGAAGCAGTCTTCCAGAATTAAAAACTCTGTTATAACGCAACCAAATGTTATCTTTCGAACGAATCTATACGTGATCTATCTAGAAAGGCTAAGAAACACTTATTTGTTGCGTTACATCTGTAGAGTCCAAACTACGGTTTGGATATATGAATAGCTGTCCAGGTACGTTAGACGCGCGCCCTTTCCCGTCGAAATCAAAACAAGTAATCGGGTAAATAGCGGTTCTATAATTCATCATAAGTTTATATGTAAATCGTTACCTAAACAAATAAAGCCATTAATAATAATATTAACACCCGGCTATTCAACCAATAATTGTTCAATCAATCAAATCTAAATTACAATAAATAAAGTAGTTGATAAAAGATGAGGGAAAATTACCAGTCACAACAGATGAACGTTATTCTATCCTGACTGGATAGAACACACACAAAAGGAGAAGCAAAGCAATATGGCTACCACCAAGAACAATTATCAAGTAAAACAACACTGATGCAGTTCGGGAAGAAACACGAAAACTTAGTAAAGGCGTAATAAAAATAAAAACTGTAATAAAATGCAAATATTAACCATCCAAATGTAATCAAAAGACAACAATGTACAACTAAGGGGATCAATAAGAACAAAGGGCAAGTATATATATGGAGGGATTTTCACAAACACACAAAACATTCAAAATGGATCTTACAACATCCTTTATCAACCTGTTTATTTATTATAGTTTAGATTTAATCAGAATGAACAAATGTTGGCTGAAGAACTATGGTAATGTTTGTTTAGGTAATAGTGTACATTTATGTTTTTTAATGAAATTTAGAACCTGCATTTACCCAATCATCTTGTTCTAGTTTCAATTGGGCGTCAGTGTGGCGAGCATCCAGCGCGCATCTAAACTAACTAGACAGATATTCTTCAGTCCAAACATTAGTTTGGATTCTACAAAATGCATGACGTAATAATCCATCCTAAGTGTTTCATTTGACGGGGTTGTTATTTTTTATTTTCCTTCCTGCATTGAGCATTTTTCCTTATCCAAGTATAGAATAATCATACCTTTTTACTTCTCAGTCTTCTATGGCTGAATGTTTGTTAACTGATTTTAATTAAGATCCGTCCTTATTATCTAATTTTTAGTTTTATGATACCAGACACTTTACAAGGCCGTGCTTAAAAGATCGCAAGCTCACGGTTTAAAGTGGTTGGTCACTTCTGTTCACCGTCCGTCCAAATACATGATTCGTTAGCATTTTTTAACAAAATTACATGTAAATACAAACTTCGTATGTAATTTTCTCTGTTCTAGTGCGAAATCAAATTATTGACGAAGTGCGAAATACCTCAGCACTACAACTCCCAGTAAATAAAGGTCCCTGTCGTGCAAATCACGTACCACATAACTAAACCTTTTAACTTAGGAGGTCAATGTCCAACATACTCTCATTAACATGGTCGATTTTTTGATGCCTTAGTTTTCTTTCCTCTTTACTCTCTAGAAATATCTTCCCCTTCAAAATGAAATTCATCCTTAAAAATCCAAAGTTTCAGATTAAGACATAATATCTTCTATCAAACCTATAAAAATTGATTCATTTCACTCTATGTACATATTGCCTATAAAAATTGATTTTCGAAGATTAGTCCGTACCATCATCGAGGATATTCAAACATCATTACAAACGGTCGCTACAAAAGACCTGACTTTACTGTCAAATCACACTAGAATGACGATTAATTTCCTTATTTTTCATATTCTCATTAACATGGTGACATATTATTTCACATCTACTTTATATATATCTACTTTGCAATTATAAACTTAAAAATTTGTATTGCATATATACTTACTACGGCAAGAATCATAACGCAATTATATCGAGCTTGCATCGGGTGTGAAACATGGACGCGATACCTCTTTGGGAAATATTTTAAAGACTGTACCCCGTGTAGTACTAAGGCGTAAACCTAGTCAATATAGCCCCAAGACATCTGCACGAATGTACCGTTATTTACTTTTATAGATATAATCTAGAATACGACACTACTTGGGAAGCATACTGTAAGCAAACTAATGTTGCGATTCGTAGAGCATGCCTATAAAGATGGTGTGTACCTGCCCTGTCAGAAATATATTCTTGTTATAATATTACGGTTTATACTTATTTTTTATCAAAAACTCGCATATAAAATTAGTTAATAACTACACGTAATTGAGTTCGTTTAATTCGTTCATTAAAGTCAAAACAATATTCGAATAACTTAAACGAAACATACATAAATACTCATAAACTATGCACACACCACTGGAACGTCCGTGCAAATACATCAAATGCTAAAAAATAGAACGATACATACTTGCCCTTGATCCTACATGCATGATTTATCTAACCAAAACGAAACCAGTTAGGGTTTGACCATCGGTCATCAATTTACATCTCAGCTGGTCCCACTATTTTAGAGAAACATGAAATATATTGACTGGCTGATAGCCTTTAATAAGATGTCTGAACCCGTTTTAAAATTCAACATAATGAACGCGAAGGTCAGTTACATTACTAGACTTCCAAACCAAAATGCATACAGCGAAAATGTGACTTATTAGTTGAAAACAGTTTCTCTACGCCTGTCGATTGTTACAGAATAGAAACTGAGCGGTTACAAGTTTCACCACTTACCGACTTTCCGAATCCAATGATCTTGATAACCTTTCTCATACTATTGTTTTCGTTGACTATCAATCCCAAACTACACTTTTCTGTAAGGTATAAGAAGCCTCTTTGCCGTTTACTGGATGGGCATATGGTCTCTCAAATGGTCTGAAAATTCCGGGTACAAGTTGCTCTGCTGTGGTTTTTCGAACTATTTGTCTTGAGACATTGAAGAGTTTCAGCTTTCTATGAAGCAGCATATCTCTTACATATGAAGATCCTTGAACTTGCGAAGTAGAGCTTAAATGGAATGACTAGTTATATAATTAGCTCGAACATTATTAAATAATGTTTGGTGTCGGCTGACTTTGTTATAGTTTATGTAGTAGTTACCCGCCATTTCAACGATTTCATCGTTGTAACGTAGTCTTATGTCTTCCTCTGATTCAAGACGTGGAGTGCGTAAACGTACACATGACAGAGCCTTTAGTGGTCATTCAACTGCTGTAAACTCGTTACCTTCATCTTGTAATGGTCAAAAACCCCCTTCGAGTGTACATTTCAAGTCGAAATCTATGTCTACAAGTTTGAAAAGGTTTGTAATATTCATGCTAAATTACATACGTTTAAGAATACAAAAGGAATTAACGGACATCATGTCAGACCCTCCTCCCAATTGCAGGTATGATTTTTTAGTTGTTACTTCATTGTCAGTGCATTTCCGCGAGGAGATAATCTCTATGAATGGGTATCAACTTTATTAGGTCCTCAAGGATCAGTTTACGAAGGTGGAATATTCTTCCTAGACATTCACTTTTCTATGGAGTATCCGTTTAAGCCCCCAAAAGTACTCTTAATTATACGTTACGGTTAATCGTTTAGGTAATTTTTAAAACTCGTATCTATCACTGCAATATTAACAGTCAAGGTGTGATTTGCCTAGATATTCTCAAGGTAAGTTATGTCCGTACCCCAACTTTTTTTCCGGCTGAGTGGTAATTTGGGATATAAACCTCGATTATTCTTGTTTGTCCTTGTTGATAATTTGATTAACTTAAGTAGCTTTAGTCATAATGCTACACCATTCCACCTCATTTAGAATTTCAGAGATTTTAATGGGTAGCATTCGACCATCCACTTTATATAGTCTGGTTGTTTGTTTAATAGAGGATTTCTTTTGAGGTCCTACCCAAACAAATTCACTGTAGTTGAAAAGTCGAAATAATGTATTGGTAATCATAATGAGAAAGATCAGATATTGAGAAAATTGTTTGGAAAGAGAGTACGCTGAATATGGGATATATTCTGGAGTTATTCATTGTGATTTTCACTTTGAAGCAAAAACTGGCAACGTCTTTTGGAGACTTTCAGCGTAAAGTAGACTTTATCAATCCAATGAATGAAAGTTGTTGATAGGCTAGTGATAAGATCCGTTAAATTGCATGCTGAATTAAAACTATCTTGGCAACTTCAGCGAGTTCATATCTTCGTACATAGCTAGATATTCAGCTGAAAATTCGTTTTTAGTTTTTCCAAAGTGACCACTGTCATGTAATTACAGGATTTGAATGAATTGTTTTTTTCAGTATGTAGACTTTGAGTGATGACTGAGTTAGGAGAAACGCGTTTTGCTTATGCGAAAAAGTTTACGACTTGTCACATTGATATTTTTAGGAATCTTGAAGGTTATATAAACGTGGTATATTGTTTGTGTACGAGTTTACTGACTGTTAGTTAAGGTTATTATATCCTTACTAATTATTTTCGGAAAAATTGGAAACTGTTGTACGGATACTATTAACAATCGTCACAGTAATATAGGTGCATTTACTCCCTATCTTGCTGCATAAATTTCCGCCCCATGGATTATACAGTTTACAGTCTGCAATTTTCATAACCTCTCCTCTCCCTTTCTTCAGGCTTCCCTATCTTTATTAGTGTGACTAATCTAGATAATACGTTAGTATTAGGTCTTATAATGCTAACGCAGGTGAAACACTAAAACTAACATTCTAAATTTAGCCAGTGTTGGCAATGAAAATAGGCATCCAATTATGTGGAGGTGCTTCTATCTTAGTCAGTCAGCTACAACGTAGCGCCTTTATGACCGCAAATGCCCTGATACTGCCGAGAGTGGGGAGAGTCTGCTCTCCCTCTCGAAATGCCCTCACATGGCCACGCGTATATAGCCTCTGCCAGGGAAGTCCTAGTCACTGCCTTCTCGTGGCGGGGGTGTTGTTTACGAAAATGAGGACGAAAAGCGAATGTCCGGCGCTTTAACCGGATCCCAAACCAAATCAATGGTGCACATGGGCTCCAGTATCCTGCGGGAACGAATGGCGTATGAACCAATCGTTGGTCACCGGCATCCATGGGACTCCATCTCCTCACGATGCTCCACTGCCTTGTGGATCAGACCTTCAGGTCGAAGGCTCGAGGAGTGGCCCCCTAAGATAACCATTTGCTTCGGTTTGGGCACCCGGGCAGTATCACAGCCCTCACAGAAATCAAATGAGATTTGTGTGGCGTATATGTATTTGGTGCATCCTTGTACCAATATCTATGTGTTAAAATAAATAAATAAATAACAACGTAGGACCAGGCACATATATGCATCGGTCCAAGTTGCCATACCTCATTAACACAACAAGATGGACACCTGATTCATAAAGTAGCTAATTCAGAGGTGGTAATATATGAAAGGAAGATTGCAATAAGTATGTAGTACAGGAAGAAAAAATTAGTTCGTAGAAAGAAAGATATGAAGCGATTTTAATCTCTTAATTTAAAGGAAGACAGAGTGTATACACCGACGCCATTGTGATCGATTCTGAACCATATCACCAAGAGTCTCCAACCATCGGTTACGAAAGTCACGCGGACCCTAACCAAGCAATCTGCATCTACCAACATGGCTCAGACTAGAGGTTAGTGTCTTCAAGCACTGATGCCACGTTTTGGTTTGACCGCCCCTAACTTTCTTCCAACCATCCCGAACACCGATTAGCATTGCACGTCGTGGTAATCGGTGTTCAGGCATACGTAACACGTGGCCCAACCATCTCAGTCGATGAAGATTCATAACCTCATCAATTGATTTACCATCATTCCCTAATACCCTGCGTCTAACCTCACTATTACTTACCCGGTGATCCCAGCAGACGCCAGCAATATTTCTAAGGCATCTGTGGTCAAATACTAATAGCTTACGAGTGTCTTCTACTCTTAATGGCCATGTTTCGCTGCCGCAAATTAAAACAGAACGGACTGCCGCGCAGTATACTCGTCCTTTTATTGATAGACGGATATCTCGCCTTCGCCAAAGGTGACGTAAGTTGGCAAAAGCCAAACGAGCTTTTCGAATCCGTGCTGAGATTTCGTCAGACACCAACCCATTAGGGCTGATCAGACTTCCAAGATAAGTGAAGTTGTCAACGCGTTCAACTACTTCACTCCCTATCCTTAGTTCAGGTGTTGACGCAGACCAGTCCTGAAGCAACAACTTGCATTTAGAGGGTGAGAAGCGCATTCCAAACATCCTGGCATTGTTGCTTAGTGCTACCAGAAGACTCTGCATTTTGTCAGCGTCTTCACCAAACAGGACTATTTCATCTGCGTATTCTAAGTCGATAAGTGGACCTCCTGGATGGAGATCAATACCCGAGAACTCAGTTGACGAGAGTGTTATTTCCATCAATAGGTCTATGATGAAGTTAAACAGAAATGGAGAAAGTGGACAGCCTTGACGGACACCACTTGAGATTGCAAAAGTAGATGACAGTTCGCCATAAGCTCTGACTCGACTGGTAGTGTTCGAGTAAAGAGCCTTCACAAGGTTTATGTACTTCTGAGGTACGCCTTTCAATGACAGACACTGCCACAGAATCTCGCGGTCTACGGAGTCAGATGCTGATTTTAAGTCAAGAAAGACCACCATTGTCGGACGCCGATAAGTATGCCTATGTTCTAGAACCTGACGAATGGTGAATATGTGGTCGATGTAGCCACGACCAGGTCTGAAGCCAGCTTGGTTCTCTCGTGTTTGCAGTTCACGAGTCTTATTTAGGCGTTTGATAATTATCGAGGCTAGTATTTTAGATACTATATTAGTTAAACTAATCCCTCTATGGTTGTCACAGGATAATTTAACCCTCTCTTGTATATTGGGACGATAAGTGATTGTGACCAGTCTGATGGAATAACGTTTAACTCCCAGATCTTAGCTAAAATATTAGTCAACCTAATCGCTAAAATTGGACCACCATCCTTAAAGACCTCTGAAACCAATCCATCTGGACCAGCTGCCCTTCCTCGTTTTAGATTAACTATAGCCTCTTGAACTTCTACTAGAGTTGTTGCTACCTTGACGCGGTGGTCGAGCTTGCCTATCGTGATGAAGCAACCGAGCTATACTGGCTGGAACAACCGTTCCTCAAGGTCCTACCATGTCAGACAGGTCGGTTGAAGAGCGGTGAGACTGAAAGCAACAAGCACAAGGTCCGAAGGCGAAGTCGTACTGCTGACTGTACAGAGGTGTGACAGTAGTAAGGTGTTTCCTTCAGACAACCAGCATGACAGCGATGCTGCCTTCCCGAAGGAGGGGTGGGGTTAGAAAAGGTCGACCCTAAAAATACACATCTCGCCTTATCCCACGGATATCCGTCTCCGGCGGTAAGGTCCCAACAAGTACAGAGCTAACACGAGAACTACTCACATAAAGGTCGTGTGTGACCGACCTCAAGCAGTTGTCCCTTGGACACTGCGGTCACGCTCTCAGGTCACTCAGACCACCTCTAATCCAATTTCCTTTTCAGGCACCTCCAGAAGAACCCTTCCACGGTGTGGGCAACCGGGAAATGATAACCGCCCTCATACCTCTGACAGCACTCAAGACCACTGTATTCATAATCAATTTCCCTCTTCAATCCCTATCATTCCTCCTACATCGACTTTCACCTCTAAAATTCCTCTTTCGGCTCCCCCCTCAAGTGTCACCACAGCCAACGATTCCAGTGCTCAAAACTCTGTCCCAGGTCTACTGAAACCTCTCTCCGAACTACACATTGGAGCCTTCAACGTACGCACCCTATGTCAAATCGGTCAACAGGCCTCCCTGGCTTCTAACTTACCTTCGAAGATGATAGAAATCACTAATCCTATTGACTAACTTCATAGAAAAGAAAGTTATCTGTAGAGTAGCTTATAAATAGAGGTTCCATTACCATAACTGGGTTCTGTATGCAGTTCACTAACCTGACTATTCTGTCACTACTTTTTATACATCGAATAGAAAAAGTATTTTACGGAATTTCCGACCGTTAATCTTATCAATTTGTGGGAGGTCATTTGCATGCTAACAACCAAGTACTTGGTCACACTACAAAACTTCTAGCTAACGTTTTACAAAGGTCCCGACTGATTCCGATGACGTTGTTTCTATCCAGATTTTAATAGATCACTACAAAATTTATAAAAGTAACTAACAAATTATTTAAAGCGGACAGTAGTACAGATAATCAATTGTTTTTTATAATTCGGAAGACTGAGATATTTATTAATGATATGTCGAATTAATCTAGCATATAAGAATTGCCATTATAACTTTGTAGTTCATGCAGTTTAACAAAAAACTGAGATTGAAATGCCTATCAACAGTGGGATCCTGTATTAACATTAGTTCTTTATGTTTGTCAGCCAGTGAGCTTAAACATGCTCTAACGATACTTTTTCGTAAAATCTGTTAACGTCAAGGTAAATTGTCGTGTAGAGTAAATATTTATTGATATATTTAGTTTTCTTAAATACATTTAACCAGCAATCCCACCATTTATTCCCACCTCTTGTCTCTTTGTACCTTAGAATAATTGGTCTCCTGCTCTTACCATTAGTAAAGTCTTACTGTCCATTTGCTCGTTACTTACTGATTGCAATCCTGCCGACCCGCTTGTTGGATCTATTGCTAGCCAATACATGCATAACAGATCAGAACATGATCGTATTGCACGACTGTGGACACAAAAATATGCAAATTCTGCTACTTATCCCTCTACTGGACATTCACATGGTATGAATGCGGATTCCGAGTCTTCTAGGAGAGGACCACGTATCACGCTATCCCCCACCCCAAGATCATCAGATTCCGGGCATTCAGGCTTCGCGTCGTCAAACAAAGACGAGATTCTAACGGAAGTACCATGTACAGAAAGCAGTAGTGCAAGTGCCTGTACAAGCATCGGTGCTAGAAGTGATGGAGGAGAAAGTGTAGATGAAGTTCTCGAAGACGACACTCCCGTAGCTTCTACAGAAACAACTATTGCCCATTCATTCACTCCGGCTTAATATTTGAGATCTCTTAATCTTGTTTATTTACCTGGTTCTTTCGTTTCTTTATGATTCGTTCTAATTTAATCTATAGCTTGCTTTGTGAATCTTTTCTAAAAGATCATGCGCACTTTGTTTACTGTTTCCTAAGCGATTCCAGCGTAGCTACCAACATTCGTTTTGTTTGTTTTCTTATTTACATTCCTTTGTCGGCATTTTTTCTGATTACTTTCTGAAACGGAGAGAATATGGCGATACCCCACTAAATGTATCTCCGACTTTTTCAAAATCTCAGGTGTTAACTTTAGGTCTAACTGAAGTTGCGGATCAGTTTACACATATTTTATTTCTAATAGTTTCAAAGTGAAACTACTAACATCGCTGATTGTTTTCATAACTATTCTATGATATAAAAACATGACTTCTTAGCGGCTGTACAAAGTTATCACTGTTCAAGCTGATTAATAATCGTATGCTAACATGTATTATATGCTTATGTTTCTGAATCCTTTTGCATGTGAACATATCAGCATTTCTCAGTTGATTATTGTTTACTAGGTTATTGATGTTCATTAAATAAAGTACCTTTTAGAGCAAACAATACTAGTTTCTACCATAGCTTTTGTGATCACTTCAAACGTTATTTGTTTACTAAGTAGAATAATGAATTACGATTTTTATCATTCAAAAGGTTTTTCATTTCACTAGTCATATTCTAATAGTGGGCTGATACTCTTGTTATCAGTATAATTGATACTTATACATTTCCTGTCATTCTACTTTTGTTCCTTCTATAAGCGCTTGATTTTGAAATGGGAAGTAAAAATAAACTTGGAAAAGTTAGGAACGTGACTTTTGATATATATCGAAAAAGGAATGTCTTCTCACAGAAGAGGTTATCAATCTTCCCAAGTTTTCAGGATCGGCATCGTAATTCGTGAAAACGAGTAACAATCGGAAGTGCACACGTACCACTCTAGTAGTTTGTGAAATATATGTATTGAATAAACGTTCTTGGCTAAGCAAGAATAAACCGACAAGGTGTCCTACATTGTTTTTCTCGGAAAATCCCCAACGAACCATGACAGTAAACGTAAATTTAAATAAGTGTAAATAATGGAACTCAATGTATTAATACGACCAACCACGTATACAGCTCAAATATCCAATAGAGTAACGTTTCAGATATTTTCAGACGCTAAGTGTCTTAACAGTTTATAAGTGATCATAGGGTGACTGCTGCGATTAGGGCATTCAATATGTAACTGGTTGGTTATACCGCTCCCACTAACTTATCATTTAGAAGTATGTCTTACCTTTCCTCTTAATAAATATTCATTGCCATGTTCAAGGCTTTTTTAAAATAACAAATATCCAACAGTATTTCCAGAAAATGATAAGAATTTATCTTTTATTAAATATTAGTGGTAAAAAATATGTAGATATACATCTGATTGTTGAAACAAACAAAAAATTAACGTGATAAATTGTGTTCTTATTTACTGAAAAGTAAAAATATATATTATAAATAAATAACAAATCAATTTAGAACAACTCATCGGAGCATATTATGTGTATTTTCGAAAAATACACCAACACGAGGTAGTAATTCATAGAACAATATGTAAGCATTATCATTCTGGAAGAGAATAAAGCAGAAAGAGTAAAATCTAATGAGTGATTTATAGCATATAAATGGTTTACCACAAATTTCATATCATTCATAACGTGGCTTACATGTTCATCGGTCAAAGTTGCTGTATTGCACATCAACAAAGAGAGGAGTACTGAGACGAGAACAAACAAGTTGGACTGTGTGTATCAGTAGTCTTATAAAAAATATTTATAGGAGATATATTTTAGTACAGACAATTATGATTGTGAATTTAGTAATGAGAGAATACTAAACTCAAGACTAAGGACGATGTAGTAGATCTGCGACTCATTATGAGCTAAAAAACCCAAGGTCTTCAAACATTAGTCAAGAACATCTGGTGATGTCAGTCGGCAATACTGCACCTTTCGCAGTTCCTGACGTTAAGAAAAAACTTACTAGTGTGGTCCAACCACCTAACACCAATGGCAATGGATGATAGCAGTGTCGCAAACTCACTGAAGTAAAAATCGTGGACTGATGGATTTTTACTTCAATAGTAAGAAAGTAACTTTTCACGACGAGGTCTGAAGGTCCTGGACCCTGTTTCATGAATGTAGGTAAACCGGTAAGTCTGCTAACGATACGTCTAAACTATCCTCCTAGCCAGTTCCTATAACATGAACTACTATATGTTAAGTGATATTGAGAGAGAAGACACGAACTACGAGTTAAAACTTTACTACAAGGTTGGCTCGTATACAGAAAAACAAGGATATTTGTGGGTTTATACACGACTTTGTGCCACTGGAGGTTTCCGAAACTAAACGCAGTTTAGATAAATGTTCGGCCAACGCTGTGACACGCGATTCTAGATTTTCCAGATGTTTTTGCAATACTTCTGTCCAACGCTTATTGGTTGGGACTTTTTCTCGCGTTCCAGGGTCTCTAAATACTTTGATGAAGGACACTTTCGTACTCATCAATACCTTCATTCTTTAAATAAATGTAAATTCGCTCTCGGGTCTACTTGTAGCCTGGTTTACGGCGATGTTCCACTTTTTCCAGTGTGATCCTTGCCAACCACATTTTTCTCGGGCGAAATTGCTTGAGAAATTTTCGGTGCAATAAATTTGAAGTGACAATTCGGTGACCAAACATAAGACATGAGTCAACAACCATCAAGGAGCCACATCAACGAGAGTATTGTAAAGGTTCCAAACTAATGGTGCACATGGGCTCCAGTATCCTGCGGGAACGAATGGCGTATGAACCAATCGTTGGTCACCGGCATCCATGGGACTCCATCTCCTCACGATGCTCCACTGCCTTGTGGATCAGACCCTCAGGTCGAAGGCTCGAGGAGTGGCCTTCTAAGATAACCACCTGCTTCGGTTTGGGCACTCGGGCAGTATCACAGCCCTCACACATCGAATGAAATTTGTGTGGCGCATATGTATTTGGTGCATCTTTGTACCAATATCTATGTGTTAAAATAAATAAAAGGTTCTTGAAAATGATGGTTTGACCATTTCTCTTAATGCCTTGTCATTTGCAGTGGCTTCTTTGATAAGTTCTAAGGTAACCAGTAGTCAACCGACTGCATCAGACAACACCTGACGAACTTTTATCTCACTTTCTATTGCTGACACGAGAGTGGCATCTACAGTTTTCATCTGGAATCTTATTAATCTCGATAACGCACACGCTTGTCCAAAGGCTGTAGTAGACTGGTACTTGATTTTGAAATCGTAGCCCATAAATTTGGTTGCCCATCGTTGTAGTCAGCTAGCTGTGTGGACACGAATCCTTTTTTTAACCCGAATACGGCTAGTAATGGTTTATGATGACGTCCGAATATCATTTTGTGGAACTTATTAACAGCAAAGATAATTTGAAGTGATCCTTTCTCAACATGGCAACAATTACGTCCTGTTGTTGTTAAGAATCTAGCTAAATGAGAGATCACTTTTTCAGATTCAATACCATACTTCGAAGCATCTGATGCAGCCACAATACGTAGGAGAGGATCATAATGTGCGAGTAAGAGGTTGGAGATTAGGAGTTGCCTAACTTTCTCGAAAGCTGCCTGAAAATCTGTAAACCGAATCCACCTTGTATTTTTTTACCAGTAAATGATTTATTGGGGCACGTAGGCGGTGGTGATCATAGAGGAAAGTTCTATAATGTCTAACCATTCCCAAAAGATAAATGAAACAGTAAGTTTGAATCTCATTTTTATTTTTCTGTCAATTAGTTATCAGGAAAGAGTTAGTTAACAGTAGTACATCAATCTATATTAGGAAATAAATACAACTAATTAAATAAGCAATTATACATATAACTTTATTTTAATTAAGAGTCGGATCTATTCTAATAAATTGCATTCAAATGACTCCGAAATGAGCAATTGGGAGTCTGTGTGATTATTATTATTATTATTCAAATACTAGTTCTATGCAGCTAAATAATATGAATTGCCTAATACACAAAAGACTTCTGGATTATTTTGTAATTTGAACTATACTACTAAGAGTAGAACAAGGCACATTCAAGGAAATACCTTGGCAATAATGAAAACGATTCGTGGAAAATCTTACAAGTTTTAACAATAAAAGTGCTTTAATATTTTCATCTTATAATGATGCCTTTCTATAAATCATTTTATATCTCATATGCCATCTTTATAAAAAGTAAAACAGTTGATCTAAACTAAGAAATTTAAGACTATAAATTTATCTTACAGTCTCACTAACTACATAGCAAATATAATGAATGGAACTCGACTGACTAAATCATTCAGCTCAGAGAAAATCCTCTTTTTCAAAAACCTATTTTCCAAATCATCTCAAGTTTCTTTAATATCGTGAGAATTATATATATATATATATATATATATATATATATATATATATATATATATATAATACATGGGTTGTACTTGTAAAAGTGATCCGACTGGAATAGTAATAGAAGCAGCGCTTTTTAGCAAATGAGAGTTGTAGCTGGAAATAATTAAAAGCATAATATGGCATTTCCTACGATAAACTGATCATGAATGGGACAAGAGTGAAATAAAAAGGTTATGAATACCCTCTTAATATAGGTTTGGAGTTCATAAAAATAGTAACCTTGATCAAATTTAGGACTCTTAGAAATTATTCGAAAGAAGTTAGGATTGAATGAGTAAGAGGGATTTTCTCCGTACTGCCTTATTGACAAACATATCTTTTTCATTCAAAGACATTAAAATGTGATGTCACGCAGCTACTGATTCAACTTCGAAATTCAGTAATCGCGACAATCCAGTTTGATTTATCAAACTGATTACAATGCTACTTCATTTGATTCATCCAAGAAACAAGTACATCAGAGAAATTAAGTGTTCAAATCCGAGGACTTTGTTACACTAACAAATGCTATC